AAGTAGCCCCGCCCCAAGGCCAGGTTCCACAATACGCCCCCCCCCGCCCTGCCATCTGGTTGCCATTCTCAATTGATGGGGAGGGGGGCTAGCGGCGCAGGGGGGGCGTATTGTGGAACCTGGCCTTGGGGCGGCAGGTGGAGTAAATCCGGCCCTGCCTATTACCACTCGATAAAAAGCATGTGTCTGCTAAAATTCTTGGAAAAGCCTTTGTTGCCAACTGAAAAAAATCTGATTGGAGTGCTGCTTCTGTGTGTAAGCCAAATTAATTGTAAAAGAAAAAAATCAAATCCACAATCAAATATGCGCTGCCAGTGTATGCTATTGAAAGACTGTCTGTGAAGATTATACTGTTCCACAATACCATATACAGCTCTAAGGCATCCCCAAACATGCTATTTAAAGGATTTGTGTATTCAGTGTTGCCCAAACACTGCTGTATGGTATGTTTTTTATTGATAAATGTCCTCAAGGCAGTGCCCAGCATCCCATGCCTTTTTTGAACACTAGCTTGCCGCTTAGCCCTAAATATGACCAGTGTTTAATTACAGGATTCATCCCCCAAGGATACAATGGGATTTGCAGCTAATTTGGGGTTTGCCAAATTTCAAACGGGATGTGTTAAACCCTTGGCAAGTTGAACCCAAGCAGATTCACCCATCCCTAGTAGAGAGATGTATAATGCACCCGTTTGGTGTAGATAACAGACAATTTACTTAACTTTGCATTTGTATTCAACACCATACATTGTAAGTCGTCAGATCATTTTGAAATCTTGCAATCCTACGTTAAATATTAAAATACTTCTCTCTTTCAGTTACAAAGATAAACTGTGCTCAGCAGTGTCCTGGACGGTGCAGAGGACCAATGCCCAATGATTGCTGTCACAGCCAATGTGCGGCCGGCTGTACAGGACCCAAAGAAAAAGATTGTCTGGTAATGTCAACAACTTTCACCACTTTGACAGTGAAAAATAAACTTAAAGCCCATTTCCACCTTTACAGTGGTATTGTTGAAAAACATATGCCAGCAATGTGCACCGAGTGTACATAAAGCAGGCATATGCAGTTGCTGTGTATGAACAAAGACATTTACATTTTTTGTTAGCTTTCCTCTTCATATCCACATGAAAATGGCTGCCTCTGGGCTGTGCAAGCAATGTATGTATATTACAAATGAGCTCTCCACCCCCCATCCATTAGTATTCATAGTGGCACCACCCCGGACAGTGTATTATGTGCAAAGGCAGAGCTGGTGTTTAGTGATCATGTTACACAGAGTCACAGGTGGGGGGCAGCTGCTTTACAATCAAAATTAAGAAAGCCTGCAATGCAGGTCATGAAAATGTACACATGTATAGATCATCCTGCACCTGTTCATTACTACAATAAATGCTACTCACTTGCAGGGGCAGAAATTGACTTTTAAATGCAATTTCCAGCATGAAACAGTTGTAAAAGTGACCCTCAGTTCTCCCAAAAGGGATTTTTGCGTTGTGATAGATACTGGAGGGAAAGTTAATTACACACTGGCTCTTTTTATTCCTGTTTTGTAAAGAGGGCTTTGCAGCCTTTAACATTTGCTTTAACCTTTTCCCATGTATTCTTTATCAGTGTTTAAGTATTTTTATTATTATTATTAATATTAACAATAATAAGATAATAATAACAATATAATAGATATAATAATTGTTTTAAAATTGCATTGTTTCTTAAAGGCATGTCGCAAATTTCGTGATGGTGACACATGTAAGGAAAGCTGCCCTCCACTTCAAACTTACAACCCTAATACATACCAAATGGAACCCAATCCTGAGGGAAAGTACAGTTTTGGGGCCTTCTGCGTAACTAAATGTCCACGTAAGTAACACTACTTCAACTATTCTGCCATCCTGCAATCCCCATGAGCACCAAAGCAAATTAGACGAATAGCTCCCTTTTCCTCAACCTGAAGTGAAAATCCTGCACATTTATTTTTTTTCGTTGGAGGTGGTAATTAAGAGTTTCAACATCTGCATCTGTTCGTAATTTCTGAAATAAGCAGTGCACAAATGTTATTACAAATGAACTGCACTTTCTAAATGGGAACCTTGCTCAAAATTAACAGGTAATACACACTCAAATATTTTATTTCCAGTCACTGTAATTCATGAAGTATGAACCATGGTGATGCCTTGCATCAAAATGTGGTCATTATGTAGCATGTATATTGTGATTTTTAATGCCTTTTATTATTTTCTCCTGTTTATGCATTCTAAAATGCCTAAATATTTTATGTATGTATGTAATAATGCATGGATATAATTGCTTGTATTTTTAATAGATAATTACATAGTGACAGATCATGGATCCTGTGTTCGGACATGCTATGTTGATTCATCTGAGGTAGAGGAAAATGGTGTCCGCAGCTGTAAAAAGTGTGATGGACCATGTACTAAAGGTAATACAGAAATGTTTACATTTAATACTTTTTATGGTTAATAAAATTATACCAAACCTGAACACCAGCCATGGGTTTGTGGTGGAGAGTTACCCCCTGCCTGTCACCAACCAAAATTTACAGGTAAAAACACAAAATAATACAGTATTTTAAATGCTTACTTGTAGTGTTTTTCTTTCCATAAACTTATTTTGTATTCACTTGCAATGCGCCTTGGTACTTGCTAGAAATCTGGACTACTCCAGGAAGAGTCAATTTTCTAGCACAGCCCCCTCCCTCCTTGCATCTCATAGCTTAGTGTCTAATTACTCTCTCTGCTGACCCACCTTCTCTACCTATCGCCTTACCCACCTACATACATTTGTATGCAGCTGCTGGGGGAGTGGCAAAGGGGAACAATATAGAGTGTCACTTGATTGACAGCTTTGAGTCTGCTGAAGCTGTTGACATTACATCAGATGGCTGTGCCATGCAGTTTCAGGGATTTTGGATGTCTACACAAGGGAAATAGCATGCAAAAAATACATTAAATGTACATATAATCATAGGAAAAAATGTTTGTGGAATTGAATGGTCTAGTGACAGGGTCTCTACAAATGCTTTGGGTGACTTACCCAAGAACAAATATGCAGATAAGGACTTCTGACTATACTCTGAGCTTTCTGATCTGCCTACTTGTTCTAGGTCAGTGGTTCAACGGTATTTCATTTAGATGGGTCAGCATAACAGGCAGTCAATCAGAAGGAGGTCAGCAATGGCATTCTCCATAATAATCTCATGATAGGTGAAGCTAACCTTTATCACAGTGTTTACCTTCAATTTATTTTTTTGTACATGTTTTATTTTCTCAGTTATAATGGATTCATTCTTCCCCCCAGATACTTTGATAAATGAGGCGCGCTGTGAATTTTACAAAAGATAGATAGATAGATAGATAGATAGATAGATAGATAGATAGATAGATAGATAGAGATCCATATCACACTTGCTGATTGGCTGGAAAACCTAGTGCAGAATTGGAATGCATTTAATGTGGAGCCTGACAACCACTGTTTTACATATATTCATTTTATGTTTTGTTTTTTAGATGTAACATGCGATGGAATTGGCCATGGAAAACTAAAGTCAGTATTGTCCATAAATGCTACAAATATTGACTTTTTTCAGAACTGTACTAAAGTAGAAGGAAGCATAAGCGTTCTGTTGGTGGCTGATACAGGGTATGTAAAGTAATTTTTCATCAATTACATACTAAGTTTAAAGAAATAAATAAAACATGAGTACTTCTTATTATTATTCAGCCATTTCAAGGACCACTATTTCCAAAATCCTGAGTGTTGACAGTGTATGTACACAGTAACTCTATTTTTCAATATGTTTGGCATCATGTTTCACTGTATCCAGCCTTTTTTTGTGTGAATCTTTTGCATAGTTTCTTACCTGGGGATCCTGCCAGTAACTGCACTTTCTGTTGCGACCTCACAGCACTAAGCCAGTCTCACAATTAGCAGCAGTGTTATCAGCTTTCTGTGCAAGTTAGCTGTTGGGCTGCCTCTCTGATAGACCTGGTAGACCTGATAGGCAACCCAAGAGCCAAATGTAGGAGCTTGCATGGCAGGTTGACAGTGCTGCTGGTAATTGTGAAGCAGAGGCTTTGCATTGTCAGTCTGCAACAGAAAGTATTTTTACTAGCTGGATATCCATGTAAAAAAACATTGCAACAGAAAACTGTATATTGTAAGGCATGATGCCAAACACACACAAAAAAAAAGATTTTAGGTTTACATATACTTTATAGGTCAGAACTTTTGAACTAGGAAAAGGTGACTACTGTAGGCCAAACAAAAACGGACGCAATTATAGGTCGGTGTTGGTAGCGATCAAACAACTGCTGGCTATCTATAATATTTAAGAACATCGTCAAGGAATGAAATTCCCCAAAGGTCTTCATTCTGAATTGTCTACTTGGCATTAAATGCACTTGATGCGGTGTGGATAGGCCCCTTCACTGAATTCTCAGAAGGTATTAAGAACTTGACAGCACCTTCAAGACCACATTGTTCTACATATACTGTAGATTAGTCAAAAGCCATCTGGAGCAGAGCTGAGATCTTGTGGAGATTTGCCCTGAACAATATAAAAAGCTAGGAGGTGATTGAACACAGTGGCATCAACACCAGGCATTCATTTTGGAAGTGCTTGCATTTTCATGAGTCACTTGCTGGTTGTATCTAAATATAAATATATTTGATTGTTTTTTAGTGATGCTTTCACCAAGACACCTCCATTAAATCCAGAAAAGCTGAGCATCTTTAATTCTATCAAAGAAATAACAGGTAGGTTAATGCATAGTGAATAGTTAATGCAACAGAAGATATAGGTCATCATGTTGTTTTGGGTGTGACATGATCTTTTATCAGTTTGTTTTGTTTGAGTCATGATTTGTACCGGAAGACCAGAATATTGACACAGATATAGCATTTTTTAGCACATGTTGGTTAACCAGGCCTAAATAGACCATAAGGTTTTGTTTGTATTAAAGAAGTACTAGTGGCTTAGGCTAAAATGTAACTTAATAAGAGATTATTTCCTACCAACTGCTAGCATGTTGTAAGAAAAGTATACAGCAGCCATAGCAAGCAGTTAGGTATATTTTTTTCCCCCCTGGAATATAAAAATTTTGGTTGCTATGGCCAATAAGAAAATATTATGTAAGCACACTCTTTTCACATCATATCTTTTGGGAATTATTTTTTATGGCAGCATTAGATTAAAGCAAACCTGTCGTTTTTTATTTTAAAGTAAATGTCTTGCCTAAAAAAAGACATAACAAGGGGCATACAATTGCCTGTAGTAACCAGAAAACCCTCCTCTGAAACGATTGAACTTGGCTTCACTTTCTTAATAAGGACTTGACTTCACTGACTTCATGTCTAGGCTCCACCATCCCACCCCTGTTCAGTGTCTGCACCTTTTTTGAAATGCTCTCATTGAACTAGGGAAAGGCATGGGAGCAAGGCTTAATCTCAGAGTCGGGGAAGTTATAACACAGTTACAACAAAACAAAACAGTTAGAAAAAAGTCCATCGAGCTCAACCTATAGAGAAGAAAAAAAATAGAAAAACCTCCATAAACAGAACTCTATGTACACAGTTACCCCAGATGGTCCAAAGGAATAAAAAAAAAACCCTATTAAGCAAGGTTCAACAGGGGAAACATGCCTTCCTCATCCGCTATTCCTTATTAGCAAAGTGAAACCAGGATCAGAGGTATATGTCTAGATAACCACTGTAATTTTTCAGGTTGAAGTTTTTGTTTTTTTTAACCCCTTCATGACTGAGGCCCTTTTTTCATTTTTTGCACCCATGTTATATTCCACATTTTAGGCCTGAAAATGACGTAAAACCCCCCAACATTATATATTTTCTGAATGCCAAGACCCTATAGAATAAAATGGTGGTAGTTGAAAATTTTTATGTTGCGCAATATTAGCGCAACTCCTTATTAAACCCCAAAATTTAGTGACAAATTTAATTAAATGCCCCAAAACACAACAAATTACCCATTTTTTTAATGAAATATAAAAGATGAGGTTACAACGAGTAAAACGATACCCAACATGCCCAGTTTACAGATTGCGTGCGACCGTGAAACGGCGAAAAACTGCAGTACCCCAAAAAGTCAATAAAAGACACTTTAAAAGCCCCCACAGGTCATCAATTTAGAATGAGTCTGCTGAAGCTGTTGACATTACATCAGATGGCTGTGCCATGCAGTTTCAGGGATTTTGGATGTCTACACAAGGGAAATAGCATGCAAAAAATACATTAAATGTACATATAATCATAGGAAAAAATGTTTGTGGAATTGAATGGTCTAGTGACAGGGTCTCTACAAATGCTTTGGGTGACTTACCCAAGAACAAATATGCAGATAAGGACTTCTGACTATACTCTGAGCTTTCTGATCTGCCTACTTGTTCTAGGTCAGTGGTTCAACGGTATTTCATTTAGATGGGTCAGCATAACAGGCAGTCAATCAGAAGGAGGTCAGCAATGGCATTCTCCATAATAATCTCATGATAGGTGAAGCTAACCTTTATCACAGTGTTTACCTTCAATTTATTTTTTTGTACATGTTTTATTTTCTCAGTTATAATGGATTCATTCTTCCCCCCAGATACTTTGATAAATGAGGCGCGCTGTGAATTTTACAAAAGATAGATAGATAGATAGATAGATAGATAGATAGATAGATAGATAGATAGATAGAGATCCATATCACACTTGCTGATTGGCTGGAAAACCTAGTGTAGAATTGGAATGCATTTAATGTGGAGCCTGACAACCACTGTTTTACATATATTCATTTTATGTTTTGTTTTTTAGATGTAACATGCGATGGAATTGGCCATGGAAAACTAAAGTCAGTATTGTCCATAAATGCTACAAATATTGACTTTTTTCAGAACTGTACTAAAGTAGAAGGAAGCATAAGCGTTCTGTTGGTGGCTGATACAGGGTATGTAAAGTAATTTTTCATCAATTACATACTAAGTTTAAAGAAATAAATAAAACATGAGTACTTCTTATTATTATTCAGCCATTTCAAGGACCACTATTTCCAAAATCCTGAGTGTTGACAGTGTATGTACACAGTAACTCTATTTTTCAATATGTTTGGCATCATGTTTCACTGTATCCAGCCTTTTTTTGTGTGAATCTTTTGCATAGTTTCTTACCTGGGGATCCTGCCAGTAACTGCACTTTCTGTTGCGACCTCACAGCACTAAGCCAGTCTCACAATTAGCAGCAGTGTTATCAGCTTTCTGTGCAAGTTAGCTGTTGGGCTGCCTCTCTGATAGACCTGGTAGACCTGATAGGCAACCCAAGAGCCAAATGTAGGAGCTTGCATGGCAGGTTGACAGTGCTGCTGGTAATTGTGAAGCAGAGGCTTTGCATTGTCAGTCTGCAACAGAAAGTATTTTTACTAGCTGGATATCCATGTAAAAAAACATTGCAACAGAAAACTGTATATTGTAAGGCATGATGCCAAACACACACAAAAAAAAAGATTTTAGGTTTACATATACTTTATAGGTCAGAACTTTTGAACTAGGAAAAGGTGACTACTGTAGGCCAAACAAAAACGGACGCAATTATAGGTCGGTGTTGGTAGCGATCAAACAACTGCTGGCTATCTATAATATTTAAGAACATCGTCAAGGAATGAAATTCCCCAAAGGTCTTCATTCTGAATTGTCTACTTGGCATTAAATGCACTTGATGCGGTGTGGATAGGCCCCTTCACTGAATTCTCAGAAGGTATTAAGAACTTGACAGCACCTTCAAGACCACATTGTTCTACATATACTGTAGATTAGTCAAAAGCCATCTGGAGCAGAGCTGAGATCTTGTGGAGATTTGCCCTGAACAATATAAAAAGCTAGGAGGTGATTGAACACAGTGGCATCAACACCAGGCATTCATTTTGGAAGTGCTTGCATTTTCATGAGTCACTTGCTGGTTGTATCTAAATATAAATATATTTGATTGTTTTTTAGTGATGCTTTCACCAAGACACCTCCATTAAATCCAGAAAAGCTGAGCATCTTTAATTCTATCAAAGAAATAACAGGTAGGTTAATGCATAGTGAATAGTTAATGCAACAGAAGATATAGGTCATCATGTTGTTTTGGGTGTGACATGATCTTTTATCAGTTTGTTTTGTTTGAGTCATGATTTGTACCGGAAGACCAGAATATTGACACAGATATAGCATTTTTTAGCACATGTTGGTTAACCAGGCCTAAATAGACCATAAGGTTTTGTTTGTATTAAAGAAGTACTAGTGGCTTAGGCTAAAATGTAACTTAATAAGAGATTATTTCCTACCAACTGCTAGCATGTTGTAAGAAAAGTATACAGCAGCCATAGCAAGCAGTTAGGTATATTTTTTTCCCCCCTGGAATATAAAAATTTTGGTTGCTATGGCCAATAAGAAAATATTATGTAAGCACACTCTTTTCACATCATATCTTTTGGGAATTATTTTTTATGGCAGCATTAGATTAAAGCAAACCTGTCGTTTTTTATTTTAAAGTAAATGTCTTGCCTAAAAAAAGACATAACAAGGGGCATACAATTGCCTGTAGTAACCAGAAAACCCTCCTCTGAAACGATTGAACTTGGCTTCACTTTCTTAATAAGGACTTGACTTCACTGACTTCATGTCTAGGCTCCACCATCCCACCCCTGTTCAGTGTCTGCACCTTTTTTGAAATGCTCTCATTGAACTAGGGAAAGGCATGGGAGCAAGGCTTAATCTCAGAGTCGGGGAAGTTATAACACAGTTACAACAAAACAAAACAGTTAGAAAAAAGTCCATCGAGCTCAACCTATAGAGAAGAAAAAAAATAGAAAAACCTCCATAAACAGAACTCTATGTACACAGTTACCCCAGATGGTCCAAAGGAATAAAAAAAAAACCCTATTAAGCAAGGTTCAACAGGGGAAACATGCCTTCCTCATCCGCTATTCCTTATTAGCAAAGTGAAACCAGGATCAGAGGTATATGTCTAGATAACCACTGTAATTTTTCAGGTTGAAGTTTTTGTTTTTTTTAACCCCTTCATGACTGAGGCCCTTTTTTCATTTTTTGCACCCATGTTATATTCCACATTTTAGGCCTGAAAATGACGTAAAACCCCCCAACATTATATATTTTCTGAATGCCAAGACCCTATAGAATAAAATGGTGGTAGTTGAAAATTTTTATGTTGCGCAATATTAGCGCAACTCCTTATTAAACCCCAAAATTTAGTGACAAATTTAATTAAATGCCCCAAAACACAACAAATTACCCATTTTTTTTATGAAATATAAAAGATGAGGTTACAACGAGTAAAACGATACCCAACATGCCCAGTTTACAGATTGCGTGCGACCGTGAAACGGCGAAAAACTGCAGTACCCCAAAAAGTCAATAAAAGACACTTTAAAAGCCCCCACAGGTCATCAATTTAGAGATACCCCAAAATACTGGCCCTAGAATTATTGCTCTC